TTCATAGTAAGTAGTCAAGGTTCACTTTCAAATTTAATTTTCATCACAAAAATCCAAGGCAGTTATATTCTTATGGGTCCTTATGTGTCTTTATGCTAATAAAGACATGATTATTCAATGCATATCCCTGGTCAATGTAATTTTGAAGAGTTAACTCTTCCTATTGTTTACCTGTACTATTTGCAAAGACAAATCACATTTCATGTTTTATTTTTGCTTTATCTTAAGGACATATCAGAAACTCCTAAAAAAGAGTGAAATTAGGGATCTGCAAATTAAATCAGAAATGAGAAGCCCCACATACCTATAGAACAGGCTAAAATTCAGTGCAGGTAAGGATATGGATCAAGAGGAACTAGTATTCATTGTTGGTGAGAATGTAAAAATAGCATAGCCACTCTGAAAAATGGTATTGGCAGAGTCTTATAAAATTAAACAGATGCCCACTGAACTGTGAATTTAATTCCTTGGAGTTTACCCATACATGTTAAATACATGTTTCTAAACAAAACTTAAACAACCCTTTGAATCCAAAAAATATTTACTGTGACATTTTACTTAAATGAAGCTCATATTTTAAGAGCTTGTGTCCTTCCTTCTCTCCAAGTTTTGTCATGTTAAGTTTCCAATGTAGTGGGAACTATAGAGTTGTAAGACTTTTATGGTCGGTCTCTTTTCCTGCTTAGCATAGCAATTAGGTGTAGCTCCATCTGTCAATCAGTGGGAAAGGATCATAAAATCACAAAATGCTTTATTGGTTAGTGATCCTTAGAACATGTGGGATTTACGACATAGTATTTAGTTCATGTCTAGAAAACTCTAAAGTTGTCTGAAGCTATCTCTGGCAGAGGCAGGTATGCTCCAAGATACAGAGCAAAGGTAGCTGTAAAACATTTTTGGACATACATCAGGAAGATATTTTGAGAAGTGATCACAAAGAAAAAAGAAGGACTGACCATAATGAAATTAAAAAAAAAATGTAAGGTGAATAACATCATGACCAAGTGGATTTAACCCATTGGTAAAAAGATGTTTCAACATTTCAAAATGAATGCTATTGAATATGAAAATCATAATATCATTTTAATAATGTAGGAATGGTCTATTATAACAACAACTATTCATTCATGATAAAGATTCTCCACAAACTTGGAATTAATGAGAACTTGTTTAATCCAATTTAAGGGAATTAGCAAAAACTTATAGCTTTTAAAACACTTATTAGCAATAGCTTGAATCAAGGCAAGGATGTCTACTCGCATCAAGGCTCTTTGATTTTAAACTAGAATGTCTAACCTTTGTAACATGAAAAAAAAGTTTAAATTAAAATTTCAGAATAGAAAGGAGAAAAAACCCTGCATTACAGATGACAGAATTGTCTATACAGAAAATACTGAATCTAGAAACAGAATTTTCAAATTAATAAATGAATTTAGGAAGTCTTCAAGTTACAAGTTCATTTATATTGTATATATAAGTAAGAAACCATTGTCAATTGAAATATAAAGATTACTATCCATAAATCACCAAAACTTGATATCAAACAGTAAAATGTGTATGTTATATATTGAAAATCCAAAGTACAAATAAAAGCAACGAAACAAGACTTAAGTTAATGCAGGGATATACATTGCTCTTGGATAGGAATAGGCAGTAATACAAAGATGTGAATTTTCCCCAAGTTAATCTGTACTTCAACATAATTATAATCTAAGTCAGAAGAAATCTTTGTTGAATTTGACCTGATGATTCTAAAGTTTATTTTGAAATTCAGAGGAGCTAGATTATTCAAAACAATTTTGAAAAGTGGAGTCAAAGAGAGAAATAATTCCAAGAGTTACTATGCAGTTTCATTAATTGAAAGATGTAGCATTTGAGAAAGTTAGACAGAGATAAATGAAAAAGAATAGTTGACAAGTAGACCCATACACATATAATCATTAAATTTTTGCCAAAGACACAAAGATAATTCAATAGTGAGAAGAGCATTTTCACAAATGTTACTGGCACAATTGGATGTCCATAGGCCAAAGAAAAAAAATATCTATATAAAAATAGTTTAAAGTGAAGAAATATGTATGTAAAAGTGAATCCTAAAATACAAAACTTATAGAAATTAATGTAAGAGAAAAATTTTGAGGTTAAGAAAATATTCCTAAAATATACATTTTGTTTAATGACAAAAATCAATAAAAGAAAAGTTATGAATTACGTTTATGTTAAGAATATCTGTTCTTGAGACCTTTCTAAGAGAACGTAAAATATGGCTAGAAAATATTTGAGAGAAAATATTTGCAAACCACCTCGTTCATATAGACAACTTGTACTCAGATTATGAAATTTCTCAATACTCATTTAGAAAAACAATGTAATTTAAGAAAAAAAAGGAGAATATTGTTTAATGAGTTGAAGAGGCACTACACCAGAAAAAAAATAATCATTGTATGACAAATTCAAATATAAAAAGATGATCAATCACCGGGCATGGTGGTACACACCTGTAATCCCAGTGGCTTGAGAGGTGGAGGCAAGATCACAGTCTCAAAGCCATCCTCAGTAACTTGGCGAGGCCCTGAGCAGCTTAATAAGACCCTGTCTGTAAATAAAATATTTTTTAAAAGGCTGGGGATGTGGCTCAGTATGTAAGCACCTCTGGGCTCAATCCCTGGTACAAAAAAAAAAAAATGATGCTCAACACTTCAACCTTATTAGTCATAGGGAGATGTGAGTTTATATTACATTGGGATATATACATTTACTCACTTCTAGAATGTCTTAGAGAGCTCACAATAGTAAATGGTGATGAGGATCTGAAGTAATTTATACTTTCAAACATTGCTTCAAGAATATTGTGACAAGGGTAAACAGTACAGCTATCTTAGCAATTGATGTAGCGGATTCTCATACAGTTAAACATGCACTTTCCATAGGGTGTAGTCATCCCCTTTCTAGTAATTTAACAATGCAAAATACACTTCTGGGTTCACAGAAGATCTTGTATGTTAATGTTTACAGTGACTTTATTTGTAGTCACCAAAACCTGGAAATGAACCTCAAGCAAACTACTCTTCAACCAGGGAAAGAATGGGTAATCCGAAGCACATCCATTCAATACATTGCTTCCCAGTAATGTACTGGGAAAAACAGTCACAAACACTGTGAGTGCATCTCCAAAGCTTCCACTAAGTGAAACAAGCTAATCTCAAAGGATGACAACTGTGTGTGTAATTTTGAAAGGGAAAAAGGGAACTATGGGAACAGAGAAGGAAAAATGGATCAGTAGTCAACAGGGATTGGGGTAAGAAAAGGTGTTGTGTGCAAAGTAACATTGAGTTATTCATAGGTGAGGGTAAATTTTCTAAATCTTGATCTTGGTGGTGATCCACAATCATTCATTTATCAAAATTCACAGAATTGTATTCTAAAGCAGGTGATTTCTTTTGTATCCAAAATTTGACATTTTTATGTAAGCTTTTCCAAATATAAAGAATATATACATAATTCCCCATTATAGTAACAAGTAGCTCTTTCAAATAGTATAAATTCTGTTAGAAATATTTTATAGTCATTACTCAATTTAAGTTTTATCAACTTTTTGTTAATATTGTTCATATGTTTTCCTGTTTATTTATTTTAAATTACATTTTTATTAGATTACTTTTAATTTTTTTTTAAAATATATGTTTTTTACATGGACACAATGCCTTTATTTTATTCATTTTTATTTTTATGTGGTGCTGAGTATTGAACTCGGTGCCTCAAGCGGGCTAGGAAAGAGCTTTACCACCGAGCCACAATCCCAGCCCCTTTTTAAAATTTTTGTGAACCTATGTTTTCACAATCATTCAGTTGCTTGGCAAATACCCTACAACTTTAGCCCAAGTATTATTATCTGCCTACTTGTACATCAACTTATAATTTTTTGTATCTACATAAACAAAGATATTTATAGAACAACATTCAACTAAAATAAGTTGTTAATAGTGAAATTCAATATAATATCTCTTTTTTGGTACCAGGGATTGAACCCAGGGGTGCTTAACCACTGAGCTGTATCTCCAGTCCTCTTTAATTTTTACTTTGAGGCAGGGTCTTGCTAAGTTGCTTAGGGCCCTGCTATGTTACTGAGGCTGATCTCAAACTTGCAATCTTCCTGCCTCAGACTCCTGAGCTGCTAGGATGATAGCTCTCATTTTAGATTATTTTTAATCATTTACATTATCTATAATGGTCATGTATTCTTTTTTATTGAGGTTTGTTTTTGTTTTATTTTTTTAAAACAAAAAAACTTCAACAAAAGCGAGAGATGGTTAAAATGTTCATTTAGTAAGAATGATACAGATATCAGAATTGTTCTAAAATGTTTTCTAAGAGCACCATGACACTGCAATGACCTGAAAGACAATTGTGGTCTTGTAGGGTATAAAGTGATGAACTACTTCTCAATTACTAATGACAAGATAATAATGTCCTCTCAGCTCAGTCCCCGAAATATAGATTCAGCTTCTAATGGACCATTATAAGGATATCAAAGTTGTCATGCTTTCAAAATCATAACTCCTAGGTTGTTTAAGTAATTTGGCAAATAGCATCTTTCTTCAATCTTTGGTGTCTTTTAAAGGTCAGATATCAAGCCTTCATAAATATTGATGAACCTGAACAGATTGTGTTCAAATGATGTGCACTTTTTTCGTAGACAGGTCATCTCTTTCCTCTTTTATTGCAGTTAAGTCTCTCAGGATCATGGGTTAAACATACATCAACTTAAGACTCAAACCCAAAGAAGTAAAAACACAAAAGAGTAGTAAAAAAATTTGTTTTTATTTTCCTGTATACTTCATTAAAAAAGGTACAGTTTTATTAGTAGTACATTAATTAACTGAAAGAATGAAGTGACAAGTTTTTGTCACAGATATTAATTTACATTTTACAAACATCCACCAAAACAATTAAAAATGAAATAAATATATTTACATTTTGTATTTCTGATATTTCCATTGCATTTTGATATGTATAAAATATATAATATTTATAATATTTTATTTATCTTTAAAAGTAAATTATAATGTGCAAAGAAGTGACATGATGATTTTAAAGTAGTAGGTAATAAGAATAAATCATAAACATCAATTTTAGAGGTATGGATAAAGCGATTCCTTAAGGAGAGCTCATGAATACAGCATTATTAATAGTAGCAAAAATGTTTATTCTTAATACTGGAACATCGACACTTACCTTAAAAAGTTAAGCACAAGATTGTCCTTGTGCTTTTAAAGCTTCTCACACACTGCTGATTTCTAGCAGTAATTCTAAATTATTGTTAGGATTATTACTTTTCCTCCATAATAAATCAGGCTTCCCTTACATCCAGCATTCAACAGAGACAAAGTTTATGAACAAGCTTTGTCACTGTAAATGAGAGAAATGTGGATCCATAAACTAATGCACCCAAAGGAAAATTGCTCCGCTTGCATGAAGATGCTCTCTCTGCTTGCTAATATGGACCTGGCCTTTGTTGCCAAGGAAATGAGTTTTGTCTTGCTGAATGACAGTTTTATGAGTGAAGATTTTAAAACAAGAAGTTGGCACATGCCTGAAATATGGGGAAGAAATGCCTAGCTGAATGTTCTCCCTTTAAAACTAAGGTTGAATGGAAATAAAAACATTGTGGCAAGTATTGGGGAAGACTTTACGTTTATATTATCTCTTATAATATTTTAAAATAAATACTTGTTCCAATATAACAAATTTAAAGCATACCTGATTTAATGATCTGATTGGTTATTTTTTCATCAGGCATAAGACATTATTATTTTAGTTAACGATTTTCAAATGATTTTGAACTCCCTTCTTTGACCTATGCACCTGTAATAGTCTCCTTTAAGCTCATACTACGTCGTACACTGCAATGAACCATTTAAAGATTACCCTGAACACGCACACACCCACACTGGAGCCCATAACACACGTGCACATACAAACATACCTACATATACCAAGGCACTGGAGGGGTTCACACATAATGAAGCCTTCTATTGTTAAAATTTGGCCAATGTACAAACCAGGTGTTATAAATGAATCTCATGCATCTAAGCCTAAATTTCATGAGACATAGAAATTTGTATTTTTGTTCAGCTTTCTCAGTCAAGTTGTCCAAGTCATAATAAATAACAATAGTTAATCACACTGAAAATAAAACATGAAATACCAATTGCCAAATTAATGAAAATCAGAATAGTATTTTCTTATTGGTGGTTATTTCATGATTATTCATATTAAATGGCAATTTAGGCCTGTTTTTTTATTAATAGTGTCAAAACTAACAACAATAAAGATATGGGATAAATTTTAATTCAAAGTACAATTTACAATGTGACTTAAAGCATATTAAGTCAATATATACTAAACATATGCTTTTAATTTAATTTGTGGTCAGCATTTTATCTCGTATATATGTATACATATGCACACACATATACACAGATATATGTGTGTGCATGTGTGCTAATGGTGGACAAAGACAAAACTCCTATATATTTCAGTGTACAACTTGCCTATCATCATCTATATGAGCACGAGATAGATTTTCCTGACACAACAAAGGATATTTACTTATTTTTTTGCATTTTAAAATGGGATTTTTATAAAAATTTGAAATGATTCTTACTTATTCTATAACTCATATAAAGTTTAAAAATTTGCTTTTCTTATTTTTCTTTTTAGATGACCAGCACATTTCCTGTGGAATCAACACCTGATCTTCCTGCTGTGGGCACACTGGGGTCACCTCAATATGAGGCATATTGCAATTTAATTCTAGTTAGTAGCAGAAGTTCTATTGTGAGCCATCTGCCACTGCTTAGAATCTGAAGGTGGACACTTCTCTCTACTTTTCCCCGGGCTTCAAATTTTATTATGCCTATTGTATTTGATCAATATATGAGCAGTAAATCCAATGTGCTATCCTCATTGTAGATATTAATTCAGTTTTATGGTCAAAATAAATTCTATTAAGACATTATTATATTTATCACAGTTCTTTTGATAAAGTATCTTAGATCTAAGTTAACTTTTTCTCATATCCAATTATCCACCTTCACTTTTTCTTTTCCATTTAATATATTTAAGAATTATCAGATACAAAGTTAATTAATAAATTTCTAATGACACTGAAAACAGTGATGACTTTTTTTAATTCAATGGATGTTTGTCCTTTAAACAATTGTTTGTCTCATTCCTGAGTGACACATTTTCTCCTATTAAAAATAAAAAAAAAGAAAAGTAAACCATTTTTTTAGATGCTTGGTAATTTTAAGAGGAAACATTAAGTGTTTCATAGGGTACAGGTGTGTTAATTAAAAATTTAATTTTTAACTATCAAATAAGCAGCTTATAGTTTAAAAGCAGGCGTCAATAAAGCTATAGTGAAGGACAGGGAGTGTTTTTCACTTTCCACAACTGGACTCTTGAGTTGTGGGTGTGTACCTCCAATGCTTTCAAATTTTCAGCTCTGCACTTTTAAAATTCTAAAACAAGACAACCAAAATAACCTGCGTAATTTCATGACATAGATATAAATTTTAAATTTAATTTTCAAATCTCACCTTATGTTCTCATAAAATATTGCTCCAATGGAAAACTATTGTATAGCTAACATAGTTAATAGCTTTGAGACTGCTTTGTAAGGATTTTTTTCAGTCCATGATTGGTAGAGTTAGGGTTACAAAGAATTTCTCTTACATCATATTTGTTGACATTATTTTCTCTACAAAAGTTCTTAGGGTCACTGAAAATTTATGAAACTGTAATTTGATAATAAATCTCCTTAGGTAAAATATAAATCTGTTTAAAATGAAGGAACGAACAAAGAGATTCACAAATGTTTTCATCATACATAATCAAATTAATACATTTTGGCATATTTGGTGGATACTGGCAAATTTATAAAACATTTTCAATAACATTGATTCGAGGGAGACACAGTTCATTTCACATTGTGCCCGTCATAGGTCAATGTAATTATCCTTATGCAGTTCTTGAGGGTATTTTACAACAAGATAAAGAAAATCAGAGTGCCAGTGCAGAATCGTGGAGGGAGAATACAAGGAGAAATTTACATTAGCAAATTAAAGTGCTTCTCTCTTTGATGATTTTTTTTTTTTTTTGCATGCTCCTTGCTGTCATTTTTGTTTTTTAGCCTCTTTACACTCATAATACAATGACAGGGCAAGGGGTTCATGATCTGGCCCAATATGTATTTGTCATACAAAATAATCTAAAATACAGAAATAACCATTTAATTGTTATTTTTATTTATAGGTAGCTTACAACTTTTTTATATTATTTACATACATCTTCATACCATTCATTTCTTGATCTTCACATTTGGTGAAAGCAGTATGTGGATACACATCAACCAAGTGAGAGCAGGCTGTCTTGTTCATCTAGGATTACTTACACATGCCTTCCAGAATAGAAATGCATTTGAGATGAGTCATGACCATCTTTTTTTTTCTGCTGAAACTTCAATCTGATTCCATTGTTGACTTGGTGATATCATGGTCTCTCCAGGGAGTAAAATGATGAATATGTTTAGTCTGTTTATCTAGTTGGGGTAACTGTCAGTTTGGAAATCAGTATGTCAAGTTGTGTACTTTGCTTTGCTTGTAGTAGCAGAGCTGGCAGCAGCAGAAGCAGTAGCCTGATTGCCTAAAAATAGAGGGTCCAAACAAGCTACTTTGGCAGCAAAGAATGAATGAATGCAGTGAAGAACAGCAAATAAATTTGAAAATTCCAGCTCCTAAAAAGGAAAGAGAAATAAAAGAGCTAAAACGGAAATAAAATTCATTGAAAAATTGGGAAAATTAGGCATTTTTCAATTGCAATAAAAATTCCTTGAATCAATAATATTTTATGCATGAAAGGTAATTTATAATGTAGATATTTTTGGTCAGTATGTAATATCCTATTATAGATATATTGAAAACATTGTGGGAAAAAGTTGGGAAGATTAAGTATTCTCATCACCCATGTATGTAATTTCAGGATTGATAAACACTGAATAGAAATATATCTCACAAGGTTGGGTTTTACTCTTCATAATAGATTTTAAAAGATGATATCAGGGGCGGGGATGTGGCTCAAGTGGTAACGCACTCGCCTGGCATACACAGGGCAGGGCGCTGGGTTCAATCCTCAGCACCACATTAAAATAAAATAAAGATGTTGTGTCCACCAAAAACTAAAAAATAAATATTAAAAAATTCTCTCTCTTTAAAAAAATGTGATATCATAAATATTTTTGTGACAAACCAACATTAGTCTCATAAATATATTTTAATTCCAAGAGGTTTGAGAGGTTTGAGAGAAGACTAGTACATTTATACGCTTAATAAAGTTAATATGAATGAAGCACTTACCACAATAAAGATAACTAATGGATAATAAACCATGAAATTATGGATAAATTTTCTGTTTTTTCATTATATACTCTTAATAAAGGATGCACAATTACAATTCATTCACCCACTACTTATAGTGTTTGTAATTTATAGTATGTGGCAGTAGAAAATAATACAAAATAGGGAGTCAATTAGAAATCATTAAAGCATCTCTTATGTAACATAGTTATTTAAATAAAACAATTCACCCAGGAATTTTTTTCATGTCATTAAATAGAAGCTAAGAAAAGCATAGTGTGTATTCATAGACCTGCATGATGTTGCAGATAAAACTATGTTGCCTTAGTAATTCCTTTCAGACCTTCAGGATTTCTTAGCTAGTGGCCTATGGCAAATAGTGATTTATTTTAGAAAATAGCCAAGACTATTTATTTAACTATTTTGATTGTCTAAAATTCTTCCATCAAAAATCATTTTACTAACTCCACCAAAATTTAGGAGCTTTTTTTTCATTTATCCACTCCAGGAGTACGGATGATGCTATTTGTAACCTGAAAGGTTTCCTCTTGCCTTTACTCACTCACCCAGGAATCCCTCCATTCATACTGTCATTCTTTGTGCAGCCAGCTTAATTCCCACACAGATAGATACTTTCTGTGTTAACCCATTCTAAGTTCACCTGATATAAAAAATGGTTGAAAAGTCTTGGGACATAGAAGATAACCTTGGAACACGCAATTCATTCTAGGTGAGGAGGAGAATGTTGTTAAATGTTACAACTAGGCAAAAGTACTGTAACAAATAACATTTTTTCAAAGTCATTCTATTCCATCTTTATTAAATTGGAGAATATACTTTGTTTACCAAAAAATCCCAGATGTCCAAATATCAAGGTTTTTTTTTACATAGAAATTAAGGTTTTTAATTTTTCTTTCCTTGTCAATTAGTTATCAATAACTTAATGTTCATTGAGACTTTGAATTTTTTACACCATTCTTGGGAGGATGGTCGACAAAAAACAAACAAGTAATTAGAAGATAAAGCAAGAGATTTAAAGTTGGCCTTGGATCCAGTGCCAACTCATCTTTCCTCTGCCTCAGTAGCCAGCTTGGGCAAGTGCACGCTTTCCTAGGGCATCAGTGATCACCTCCAGGCAAATCTATAACAGTGAGTTACTACTCTTTTACTCATTTCTAGTGAATTTTAAAGCTACATTTCTGTCCATCTGTGAAATATCCACAGAGGGTTTCCACAAAGTTATGCACTATAAACGTTCAATTAGTTTTTTTTTTTTTTTTAAATCTTGATCAACTCTGTGAATCTCATTAGGTAAAAGCTAGCTCCAAATTTTAAGTGCTCATTCATCCATTCATTCAAGACATGTTTTCAGAGAGCTTCCTACACATTCATTACTTTCTTTTGATGAAAAATATAGCAGCGAACAAAACAGAAAACAAACAAAGAAACAAAACAAAACAGATGGGAGTTAGCATTCTTGTGATGGGAGAAAAAAATAGGGAAATAAATAAATATCATATAATTAAGCATGCATCTGGAGACTAACATGCTAAGTGAAATAAGCCAGTCCCCAAAACACCAAAGGTCAAGTGTTTTCGCTGTTACGAGGAAGCTAAATCACAATAAAGGGAGAGGGAAGAAGAAAAAAGAAATTCAGTATATTAGAAAAGGGGGATAGGAATTAGAAAGAGAGTAAAATGAATCAGACATAATTTTCCTATGTACATATATAAAAATACCTAGGTGAATTCCACCATCAAGCCCACCCGCAAGAATGGCGATCTAATTAGAATAAGATATATTTCATGCTTATATAATTTTATCAAAATGGATTCTATTCTCATGTATACCTAAAAAACAAATAAAAACAAATTAATATAACATCAGAATGTGCTATGTTCAGTCAAGGAAATAAGGCGGGACATTGAGTAAATATTATGTTAGGGGCCATGGGACAAGAAAACCACAATGTCATGTGAGCAAAACCTGAAGGAAGAAATAAAAAGAATGAAACATTTTGATATTTCTCAGAAAATATTCTAGGCAGAAGAAATATGATTTCAAAGATCCTGAGGTAGATACATTCTATTCTAGGAGAGCTTAAGGAAAAACAAGGGTCACTATAGGTAGAATGCAGTAGTTAGTGAGTAATAGGTAGGAATAAAATTCAAAGGAAGAAAGAGGAGAGGAAGAGGAGAAATATTTTGAATTTATGGTGGGTTATCACAGTATTAAAGAATTTTGACTTAAAAATGTTTTACTTAATGATTTATTAATTTCAGTATAAATTTGGAAGAATCTGTATCAGTTTCAGTTCTTTTTACGGTTTTAGAATGTATCCCCGAAGAATATAAGGGTAGACTATTGCATACTAATTTCCCAAACCTTTGAGAAAGATTCTTGATTCTGCACAAAGATCCATTTCTCTGCTCTATTTAAGGAAAAAGACTTCTCCAAAGGGATAGTTTCTAGTCTCTACTTCCTTTCCTAAATCTTTCAAGAACTCATTCCTATGAATATATTGCTTCTTCTTCTCCACAAAAATTTATATCATAAAGTATAATTAAAAAATCTGTTAAGAGTAACAACATGTAAGGCAGAGGATACATGTGATAGAAGGAAGATGAGTTAATTTGTGATGAATAGATTTGCTTTTTAATAAAAATTCTAAATAATTTCTAGGTATTGATTTAGGCATATTATCGGTAATTTTCTTACTCCTCAGAAAATTCTAATGACTTTTTGAGTCCACTGTAAGGACAACCAACAGTATCATTCAGTGACTCCAATAATTTAGTCACCATCTACATTTTCATACCTTCTTCACACAGTTTCACAGTCATAAAACAATCAGAGAATAATTAAAGTATAAATCATCTCTTCTAATAGTGTAAACAGAACATTAAAATCATTGGGAAATTCACATTTTATCAATTCCTTGACTAATAACACTATTATTTTTCCCTTCTGACTTTTGATTTCAAGACTTTCTTTTCCCTATCACAAGCTTCTCTTTCATTTCCATTACGATCCTCATCCCCTATTCAAGGTCAATGTATTTTCAATATTCTTCATTAATTCACAGTCAACACACACACAAAAAAATCTCCATCACCCCCCCACACACACACACACACCACACACACACACATTGCTTCTTTCTTCTGCATGCCACAAGTCACAGTCAAATTTACCTATGCCATTAATGTGTAAGTTAATATGATATCTATCTTGACAACCCCCTTATGTATCAATCATTTTTCCCCACAATACTCGCATGAAAATAAAATTTACATGCTATAAAATTCACCTATTTGAATCCTTGGAAAACTGAGAATGGAACTACCATTTGACCCAGCTATCCCATTCCTCAGTCTATACCCAAAGGACTTAAAAACAGCATAACATATGGACACACCCACATCAATGTTTATCAATGCTATAGCAGCACAATTAACAATAGCTAAACTGTGGAACAACCTAGATGCCCTTCAGTAGATGAATGGATAAAGACAATTTGGTATATATACACAATGGAATTCAATTCAGCATTAAAAGAGAATAAAATTATGGCATTTTCAGGTAAACAGATGGAGCTGGAGAATATAATGCTAAGTGAAATTAACCAACCCCCCCCCCAAAACACAAATGCCAAATGATTTCTTAAATCAAAGAATGCTGATCCATAATATGCTGTTTGGAGGGGGCATGGGAGGATTATATGAACTCTAGATATGGCAAAGGGGAAAAGGAGAGGTAGGGAAAGAGAGCGGTCATAGGGGTAGAAAAGACAGTGGAACGCTATGGTCATCATTATCCTAAATACGTGTATTAAGACAAGAAGGATGTGACTAGTTTATGTACAACCAGAGATATAAAAAATTATGCTTTATATGTATAATATGAATTGTAATGCATTCTGTTGTCATATATAACAAATTAAAATTTTAAAAAATTTAAAAAAATTAATAAAAAAATAAAACAGAACAGAAGAAAAAATATTTACCTATTTGAAACATTTCATGGGTTTCAGTATATTTACATAGTTGCGTAAACATCACCATTATCAAACTTCAGAAATTTTGTATGATTCAAAAATATCTTATTGTAAATCACACTCCATTTCCCTTGTTTCTAGTTCCTGATAACCATAAATATCTTTATCTATAGATCACCTTGTTCTGGACATAAATAATTTCATACAAATAAGATCTTTGGTGATTGCCTAGATTTATTTAACATGATCTATTTCAAGGTTCATCTTTGTAGTAACAGGCACTATTACTTCAGTTCTAATTATTGCTGAAAAATATACCCTTATGTAATATAGCTCATTTTTTCCTCCCTTCATCATTTTTTGAATATTTAGCTTATTTCCACT